CAATACGGCTTCTCACTGTCGTTGTAGTCATGCAGAACATAGACATTTAATCATATCTCGTCATTTACATTATTTAAATTAATCTTTTTGTTTTAACGATTGTTTTAACAATTATCTATTGTTGCACATGTAACTATTTCGCACATAATTTTCCCTCCTTTAGGAAACGTTAATATCTTTGAATCATCAACTGGCTTGTTGAGACCAACGTTTATACGTACACCGTACGTCTATACGTCTATCGCCGGTGGAAGTCTGCAGATCTCAATTTCGTTGAACGCACGAAGTATACGCACTCGGATCCAAGGATCCGCCTATGATCGAATATCAAAGCAAGATCGAGACGGTTCCAGCAATGCCCGGTCGAGAACCGTCTATTGACTGTCGGCTGGATCCTCGATAGACGTCCTCCAGGCGCAGGCTTGCGCGGTGCCGGGACGCCACACGATATTTTCGTTGACAGCCGCTTGCGTGGGGACGTTTGACTCGAGCGATCAGCTGATTCTCCAAATAATCCGGCTACTAGGGTGAAATCACTCTAGTATCAAAAATCCGAATTCGACGTAACAACTTCGCGCGAAAGAGAATCAACATCGCATAAATATGGAGAGTCTCTTACGCAATATTGTTTATGCACATATTTAATTAACTTCATAAAAGAAAATACATACATCAAAAAATAAAACTAAAATTATAAATGGTAAACGTGAGTTTAGCATAAATTTTCTAACTATCAATTAATAGTGCTATTACTAAAAAAAAATGTATAAATATGAACGTAATAGATTTGCAAAAAATTAATACATTTATTAGTAACATAATAATAGGCTGTAATATAAAATAAGTGTAACAAAATGTAATAAAAATTAGAAAATGAGATGAGATACTATCGTGTTAGTATAACAATTATTCTTCTTATATTTTTATGGAAATTAAAAATACAAATTTATATATTTTTATTTAATATAAATACAAATTTATATATTCTCATATGGAGATCATGCTATTAACTTATCATTAAATGGTTTACTTTTCGCTTTCTATTTGCTATCAAATGAATGTGATAAATAAATCACATTGTGTTCTCGTCGTATTGTTCTTCAAGGATTTAGACATTGTACATTTATAATCTATTAATCGAAAAATCTTGTAATTACGTAGCGACTATGTGTACATATATGAGTACATATATGTGTACATATATGAGTATCACGATATTATAGATATGACTACAAGATTAAGGACGCGGCCTTAAGAACTCGGCTTGTTTGAACGAATTCGATCATTGCCAAGGTTAGAAAGACGTCGAAGTCAATCGTGTTTCTCACGTTGCATATGAATTACAATTTAGCACAATGATATTACACATATGTATGTATTACACATATGTAAAAAAATAAAAAAAATTATAATTCCTCATTTATGTCGAGTTTATGTCATGCATTTTTATTCGTCAAAATAACAACAAAAAATGTCTGCAAACAATTGAATTTTTTGGATTGAGTTTTTTTCAGAAATTGTTGATGATATCTCTGAATTGTTAAATAAACATTGCAATAAATCCTACTCCAGTTTCATAATGTAACAAAGTATTTGATTTTACTAATTTAATAATAAAATTAAAAATAAAAATTAAATATATCATAGAATTTGATTTGATTCTGCATATACTCCATATAAATTCAAATTTTTTAATAATCGCGAACATGACATAAAATTGGTTATAGAATTTTTTAATATTGAGTATGATAACGATTATTATTTTAATGACAAATTTATTATAAATTTTTAATCTTTTTATATAAACATTTCTTTATCTTTTAATTTTTAAATTATATTATTTTTGTGAAATAAAATCTGATTTTTATCTTGAGATATTTAGTTTTGATTATTAATGATTTTTATCTTGAGATATTTAGTTTTGATTATTAATGATTTTTCGATTGCAAAAAGATGTTTCAAAAGAATGTCATGAGATGTTAGATTATAGAGGTGTAATCAAGAATTTTTTATGATAAATCAAATTGAATTTCCTTTCTTTTTGAATCAAATAAAATTGTATTTGAATTGAATCGAATTACTAACGGAATTTATTTTTATTTTATTTAAAATTAAGTAAAATAGCCGCACTGTCTATCTTAACGAAAAAAATAATTTATAAAATTTGCAATAAATATGATTCGTATTTGAATTTCTTAAATTCCAAATTTTCGAATAATTCAGACTCAAATTATAAAAATTTAAATCTAATCTCATCGGATCAGATTCGAATACTTATATTTGAATAATTCATACATCTAGAATAGTGTATCTGCAGTTTTAAGCTCTAGCTTGGCACAAATATGAATACTTCGCTGATCTTAAGATCTTCCAAATCGCTGTTTCCTTTTTTCGTTTTCTTTTTCTCTCTTTTTTTTTTAATTCGGATCGTTGAGGATCACGGCTTACAGCAGGAACTGGTCTAGAACAATCGGGTTGTGTTTGATATGGTATGAGTCGCTGGCAGCCGGCTCGCGCCAGACCTCAGCTGAGACCGCCTGAACCAATGAAATCGCGTCATACAACTCTCGCCACCTGAAACCGGCGAATAGTGATGGACGGAAACAGACGAGATACATCACGTGTCTCCTGCTCTTCCGACAAATATCGACCGCATGACTATTAGGAATATTAATTCACTTGCAGCTTCGCGCCTCTTAGGCGCGAACCTCGCTCCAGAATAATCATAAATTTAAATTTCTTTAAATATTTTTTGTTCCCCATATTTAAAATGACGAATAATTTAGCAAATTATTCAATTAGCAACTAATTAATTAAATCCATCTTATTTTGTACACGTATTTTGTAAATAAGATCCGATAAATCACGCGATTTCTTGAACTTATTAGCCGAGAATTGATATGATATAATAAAAAATTCTATCAGTCTTTATTCTGTTCCTTTCAAACATATCACTTTTGATCTTATGAAATCTGCTAGTGTGAAGCTACATGTAATAACTCACGCGGGTCATTTGATAATGTTGACCCGTGCATCGTATGATCATTATATGATTCGATTTAATAACACACGATTCATAATACACAAACACATACACACATATACATACAACGCAACATATATATATATATACTTATACTTTACAGAATCATCATTTAATGATTAGAATTGATTAAAACTGCTTATAAGAAAAAAATTACTTTCTTGAAATTATTAATAAGCAATTGTATGTTTCATTGTACACAGTCGCTCTCATTTTTTTGCTTCTTTTTTGTAACTTATTTTTTTCTTGATAATTCTCGTGAAGTGATTTCACATAAAAATTTTTGTATTATTGTTTTTTCTTTAGCTATATGGATTTTCATTCTTGAATAAAGATGTTGAAAGAACCATTGAGTAATTCAGATCTCATCCATGTATGCATCCTACGCGACCACGTGGACGCGGGTCGCGTACACGTAATCGTCGTGCCGACGATGCGATCGTATTGGTTGGCCGCGGCTCGTACGACCATGTGTTTGCTTATTCCGGTCCACGTCGCCAAGTCATACATACACATACGCGTATTTCTAGAGTCTTGTGTTAAATTTAGCTTCTAGATTTTGAATTTTATTTAAAATTTCCTTATTTATGAATTAACTATTAAAGAGACTATTGAAGAATATTACGTTAATAAAAGATTATAAAAGATTTTTTAATAATATCTAATAACACATTCGATGCCAGCCGGCCGGCCGGCCGGCCAGTGGACTGGCATTGCACGTATGAATACGTGAATCATATGTATGAATAGATCACGCATGTAACGGCTGCTCTTGTTTTATGCTACTCTTCATACGTGCGCATTACGTAAAAGCGCTCAATCTATCGGCACAACAACGAATCATGCACTTACATCATGACAATCGAAAAAAATGTTATTCCCGTTTATACTAGTGAATCAATAAATTTTGTATAATTTGATTAATCGATATTTACTTAATTATGGATAGAACAGAACTCCATTGATCTATAACAGTACTTGCAAATCGAATCTTAAAATTTCGAAATTTTAATTAAACTATAAGTTATGTAAAAAATTTAAAAATATTATTCAAATTTAATTTTTATAATTTTTATAATTATCTATACATAATAAACCAGAGTAAAATTAATTGACAGAAATAAATGTTACTTTATGTTAACTTAAGAAAATTTTATAAAACGATTTATACAAATATTGCTCATAAATTTATTTGAAAATTAGTAAAATTATATCATTAAATGTTTTTGACTGTATTGTTAAATTAAGTACAGTTATAAATACACAATATTTCAATAATTGCATTTTATGTTTAAAAACTATTATAAAATAAAACTATATAAAATATATTATATTAATATAATATAATATATAAATAATATATTTATAATTTATGAAATTTATTCGCCTACAGTATAGTTTTTCATTTGAAATTTAAAATTATTTAAATTTTAATCCAAATTTTATTTTCATTTGGCTTAATTATTATTAACATTTCCTCTGGTTAATTGGAAAGAATAAATAATAAAAGAATTATAATTGAATTATGCGACTTATCCAAACAATCGTATATATTTGTAAGTATTTATTTTGATCATCTTTATAGAATATAAAGAAACGATCGACTAAAGATTTAAATTACTAAATTCTCAATATATAAAGCAGTACAATACATTTGTCTAAACAAGAGAATAAAAAGTAATTTATAATTTGTAATTAACTTGATTAAATTGCGCAAATAAATTAAATTTGTGTTGTTTATGTTTAAAATAATTACATATCGATATCATGAAGATATATTTTTTTAATTTAATAATTGATAATTTCGTAAAAAGTAATTGTTAAACATGTAAAGAAATGATATAAAAAATTAATTTTTTTTATTTACAACTTACTTATATGAATTATATAATCTTTAAGATTTTTAAAGTTCTAAACCTGGCATTGTAGATTTTGTATTATTTGATATCTCTAAACAAGTTTCTATAATATAATATAGAAATATGAGAAATATATTAATCACAAAATATTAATTAAATAAAAGGACAGTAAAATTATTTCAGTTACAAATAATAAAAGTGGAATATATTAATGAAAATATATTATTTATTATTATCTATTCTTAATCTTTCTTTTGCACAATTACAATATAACTAATATATATTACACATCTAAAAAAATTCAATTATATGCATTAAAAAACTAAAATGAACAAAGAATTTTGAAATTTAAAAAATTGCTAAACGAGAAAAATTGTATTAAAACTAATATCATAAATCAAATGATAAATATCATATATCAAATAATAAAAAATACGATTTTTAAGTTAACATAAAACTGAACTTTATATGAAAAATGTAGCTCGGATTCATTTTTATTCTTATATATCATGTAATAAA